GTGAATTCACCTTACAGGAAAATAAACGACTTCTTGTTGTTGTTTCATGCAATATTACGCCAGACTACAAAAGGCGTAACACCAGGATAGGTGTGAAAACCCCGAGTGCAATAAAGGAAGGTTCCTCAGTATTTCGCATTTCAGGCCTTAAAAGAAGAATGCGCCTGCAGAACTAATATACAGAGACTATACTTTTAGTTTGCGGGTTTTTATTGCTGTTTCTCACGTATTTTTTTTAACGCAAGCATGAAGATTTGGTGCTTCTGAAACACTTCCTAGACGTAGAGATCGTCTCCTCCTGCGAGAGAGCGCGCAGGAGGGGGCCAGCACGCCGCGGCGGACCCCCGCCCGGGAGACCGCCCCACGGAGCAAGCGCACCGTTCACGCTCCCGCCTGCAGCCCCCGACCTCGCCGTTCCCACTGTCCGCAACACGAGGGAGCCGTTTTTTATTTTTTTGTTTTGCCATCAAGTGTCTGTGGAGTGAGAATCTGAGCAACGGGGTAAGATCCATTTTACACAGGCCACCAATTACCATCACAGACTGATGGTTTCCCATTGCTGAATTTAACAGATGATTGAAAAATGACAGATTTCATTTCCCACTTCTCACTTAGCCGGTCACCAGCTGATGTAGTACGTCAATTTTTAAATCAGTCCCTAGATTTACAGTGTTTTCACTGTTCATAATACAAAGCAATTCTAGAGTATATAATGTGTAACAAGCTGACAAGAAAACTTCCAGAAAACTCGAGCGACGTTACCAGCATCCAGCTGGGCTGAATTCTGCCAGTGTGTCAGCTTTTGGAAAGAACTTCAGATCACATAATAATTTCAGCGTTTGGGAAAGCTTCCTGACAGAAATAAGCTCTTCATCCATGGGGAAGTATACGTATAAGGAGACGCACACACCCCTCTGCGAATTAATGCTTCCTTCCACCGTTCTAAATGCTTAACGCAGAACATCTTCAAAGATCATAATTGTAAGGTTATTATACAGTTTAACTCCCACAGAAAGTACACGGAGCTAAGTGCATATTTGTCAGTGCAGTGGGGCCAGAATTAGATTTTCCTGGCTTCAAAAATGAGAAAATTGCACTTCTCCAAATGGGCTTTTGATAACAGCTTATTGTTTTCAATCCACAGAATTCAAAACACCATTACTTACAGTTTTACGTTGGAGACAGAAATGCTAACTGTTCAACCGTGCGAAGCACAGGAAACGCACATCACATGTACATACAAAGCACGAAGATTACTCTTTTATTTGTACTTATAGCACAGAGCTAAGAAATAATATCTCCATGCAGAAATCAGAAATGTAACTGTTAGTGCCCGCAAGCATATACGTACTTCCAAACCGTCATCACCATATAAAATACACGTAGATGGTCAGACGCAGTGGTAGGATTACAGCCCTCTTGCTATTTCTGAAGGCAAGTGTTACTGAGAATAGGCTCAAATTTTTCTCCCATTTCCACCCGGCCCGAGCCAACGCAGCCCAGCGGAGCTGGGCGGGG